TAAGAAACCTCCAGAATCTCCCCAAAGTTGCTGCATTCTCCCCCCAGTCCTGTCAGGACAGGAAGCTGGGTATATGCTCTGTTGAAAATGAACAAAACTTGGGGTGCATTTCAGCCGTTAAAAGGCTATGGTGTGCCCTGCGGGTCCCCACGTATTTGGACCTTAAGTTGCACAACAGTTGCACTGAAACCGCATTTAAAAACAACAGCAAGGATACCGCCCTACCCCCAACAATACAGGACATTTTATTGAAAACAAATCTATTTAGAGAAATGCCAAGGACCCAGAAATGGGCACTGTTATCAAGGGTGACTCTGAGTGGGTGGAGGGTGGGGCAGGAAACGGATGTGGCTTCCTGGGAGGTGCCTGGTGGGGTCACTTTGTGTTTTATATACTTCCACCTTCTTCTAAATTTCAAACTATAAGCATTCAAAGGAAATAAATTTAAAAAAAGTTTGAATAAACGCCTGTAATTGCATTTAGATAGTGGGTTTTTCTGAGGCATTTTAAATGAGAGGATTAGAGGTGATTACAAGAAAGAGTGCTCCCTTCTTCGGTAATTATTTTCCAAGTGTGAAAATGGAAAATGGCCTTTTCTGAGAGTGCAGTTCAAGTCTTCCAAGTGTGAGTGCAAAGACTTGCACAGTTGTGAACAGTTGTGAAGGCTGAGCGAGCCGCAGGGAGCGGGCCATTCCCACAAACCAGCCCGTCCACCCAGGTCGCCGTCAGGGCTGGGCGGAGGCGAAGGGGGACATGGGGGTTGACTGAATTCAAGGACCCCGTCTTTGCCACCTGAGCCCCCTCCTGGTTCTCGCCTTGCTGTCTTGTACAGCCTTTACCGCTCCCACTCAACACCGCCTCCGCGAGTGATCAGGACTCTGCCACGTGGAGGGGCAAATGACCCTTTGGGAGTCCTTTCCCGGCCAGATCTGCCTCCAGAGAGCTCGCTGAGGAAGGGCCTGCTGGGGGAGTCCCCAGGCAGGCTGGGCGGGGGCCGGCAGGCCTGTGCACTGCCCCGCGTCCTCTGCTGCGGCCAGGGGTGGGGGACAGGTGCTGCAGACTTACAGGTGGTGGTATATGTCGGGGTCCCGCTGCAGCCGGGTCTGGAATCCTATGTACAGGTCATCCCAGAGGAGCCCGTTCCTCACCACGTGTCTGATGACGTCCACCCGGCTGCGAACCTGAAACAGACGGGGGCAGCTCTCAGGGTGGCCAGGCCCAGCAGGGGACAGGAGTACGGGTCACCTGGAGCAGAGAGCACAGCTGAGGGGAGGGCGTCGAGAGCAGTGGCATGGAGGGAGAGAACCGGAGGGGAGTCAGGAGTCGGGGACGCAGGGCCTGCAGCCCACTGAGGCAGACCGCTGGTTCCAATCCAGGTTTCAGCGGCGCAGCCTCGGTACCTTCTGTGCCTCACATGCAAGTGGAACGAACCCAAGAGAGCACTCCTCGTAGGACTGTCCTGAGGAGTATATGCGCCAGTGCAAATAAAACTCTTAAAACAAGGCCTGACGCATAGTAAGAATCGGACGCGCGATTGTGATCATGGTTATTACAGAGTGTCCACTTCTCCACCTGGACGTCCAGGGTAACACAGAGCTGCAAGTTCAGGGCGGCCTGTGTGTGTCCAGCCTGTGGCAGAGCTGGACTGCCTACTTCAGCGGGTTAGGACCTGAGCCTTAAGCATCCTCCACTGCTAATACTGTTGGATGGTCAGAGTAGCACAGGACCGGAGGGGGCAGACGGCCCGTGTCTCCGCCTGTGTGGAGTAACTGTGTGCTCTCATGCCTGCGGAGGCTTGGCTTCTCTATTAGGAAACTGAAGAGAGACAAAAAGTGAATTCATATCAGCAGCAGGAAGGGATGGTATCCTGAGACTGGACAGGTTGTAACAGTCTAACTGTCAGAACCTGCGTAGCATTTACAGAAGCTTAAGGATCAGCCTCACATTTCTTTTTTTCCTGATAAATATCCTGTAAAAGCCAATGAAGGCAAACTTTCATCATTGACAGGCGTCATATTCAAAGGCACGGATGACTGGAGATGGGCTTTTGGATCCATTTCCCTTCCCAGCTCCCTTCCTGTACGACAATCCTATCATTGTGAACTGAGTTTACGAGAAGTTAGAGGATCTGTGTCTTTGCCAGGAGAGATGTAGAAACATAATTCCCCAGTTGGGTGGGTGAGGGTGGCCTGGCTAGGGTGCTGTGTGGGGACTTCCTTCTTTCTAACCAGGAGAGGAGCTGTGTGATCTCATGCCAGTGGAGGCTTGGCTTCTGTATTAGGAAATTGAAGAGAGACAAAAAGTGAATTCATATCAGCAGCAGGAAGGGATCCTGTGACTGGACAGGTTGTAACAGCCTATCCGTCAGAACCTGCGTAGCAAGTAGTATCTCTTCCCAGGACTGTGTCGGATTCAGTGACTTAAAACTTGCAACAAAAAAAAAAAAAAAAAAGGAGAATTGAGGGTTGATCTGAGAAATAGCATGTAAAATGGAGGCTGATTAGATTTGAGGATGAGGGAACAGGAAGAGTTGGGACGGTGTCCCTGTTTCTGCCATGGCTGACTGGGGACCCATGATGCCCACGATCCGTTAGAAAGGCAGACAGGTCAGTTTTTAGAGAAAGGAGATGACAGGTTGGATTTTGAACTGGTTGAAAATGAGGTACCAAGCATTCAGAAATCTGGGTGATGGTATCAGCAGGCAGTTGACAGCCAAGAATCCAACACTTGACCAGAGCATGGAGAAGTCCAGGACGGACGTGGATCTGGGGTTCATTAGCAGAAAAGTGAAGTCAGCAGATGAGTTCACTCAGGAAGAGACTGGAGGAAAACAGTGGTTTGTGCACAGCGTTCTGCAGGGAAAGAAGAGGTTCTGGATGCAGAGGAGGAACTCTGAAGCATGCCCGAGAGGCACAGGAAGGGAGGGAGGACAAGGGCACCGTGTCACCGGAGCTCAGGACAAGATTTGTCATACATCCCCTGCCTCCTCTGCATTCCCAGACCCAACCAAAATGTCGACAAAGCAGTTACACAGGTGCAAGCTGCCACGGTGAAAAGGAAGCGGGTCACTGACCAGAGAGTCCACCTAGTGGAGCGAATAGACAGTAGGCAGACAACACCCCCTTTGCTCAGGATAGAGGCTGCAGAGCGGATGTGGAAGTAGCCTGGACAAGGAGGGCGCATGAGGGACCACAGATGAGCAGAAATGCATGTCCAGCAAACAGCTGGCCCCTCACCTACCCCCACGCACGGTCCTCACCAAATACGTTCAGATGGCTCTCTGAACGCACGGACTTGATGTCTGGGGAGAATGAGGGCAGAGAGTATGTTTGTGAAGCTCAAAACAGAGCCCCCCACATTTGGGCACAGGGTCCCCAGCCTATGGATATGACTCCAAGTATACTGGTGACCCCAGAGCAAAAGGGGTGTTGTCTCACCAAGTCACAGTCCTTAACACATTTGAATTAACTATCTATGTTTCTGTATATTTCACATGAAAATCTGTATTTTCAAGTTCTCTGTAAAATCCAGAGCTGGAGCTCAGCAGGGCTTGCTGGCTTCTGACCTGGATTTGCTTTCCACATGACGCCATCCCACCCAGCCCCACCCCTCTGTGAGACCTGCCACGGGCCATTCTGAGCAGTGAAGTGTGGGGTCTGCACCTTCAGGTAAAGTCCACGGGTTACCAATCCTGCCCTATGCAGCTAGCCTGAAATTAGCCTGCCCAAGTCTTTTTATTGGGAAACAAGGACTCATCATTTTTAAAGTCATCTACAAAGGAGGAAGGGTCAGCTGGCATCCGTCTTCTTTGGAGTAACTTTGCATGCCACTAGTGTCTATGGGAAGGTTAGCCACCCACAACCCCACGTCGGCCACGCTGTCCTGTAACCCAGGCAGTGGGGGAAAGGCACCCTGTCTCAGGCTGCTGGTGAAGCAGAAGTCCAGAAGGGAGGGAGCAAGGAGGGGGAAGACATGGAGGGTCTGGAAGCAGCAGAGGAGGTGGGTTTGCAGCAGACCTGGAGCTCACCCAGTCTGGAGAAGGAGAAAGGCGGGCCTGAGTCTAGGGACAAAAAAGAACGCAGTTACGGCTTTGCAAGGCATTAAGGCAAAACAAACAAACAAAACAAGGATGGAAGCAATATGAGAAGGCTCTAAGTCCCACCAAGAGGGTCTTCTCCAAGTGTGGACACAAACCACATGGATGGCGCTCTCACTAAGGCCCTAGTGAGAAAAAAAGTGCAAACCCATTCCTAATCCATACGGTGCTTCGTGCAGGGCTTTCTTACATGTAAAACCCCAGTTTTCCAAGACCTGTGAGTCAGGTAGGTGATTATGGGTTTTCCTGAGGTTTCAGCATAAGGTTCTCTTCAATAGCAAGTACTTTATGAAATGTAAAGATCCAAGCCAATGTACTAGAGTGTAATTTAAGAGCTCATGGATTACCTCTGTTATAGCCTCTACAATCAGGGCTTCACACATTTAAATGGTACTTGCAAAAAACTCAAGGGCAGACTGTGTGCCCTTGAAACTTATCTAGTGACTGAGACACTCATACAGAACTCTACTGTGCAAGGCACGCTCATGTATATTCCATTATTTGATTAATACACCCACCCGGTGGGAACGTGTCCCATGCAAAAGCCGAGGTGGCAGGTGAAAGAACCTGCTCAAGCCTCAGGACCAGAGACCATGAGCAGCAGGGCTGGGCACCAGTCCCAAGCTTGAGCGTCTCTCAAGCCTTGGTCTCTCCTTGACCCGTGCTGCTGAGGGGTCTGCTCAGAATTGGGGTGTGACAACACACACACATGGGCTTATGTTGACTTCCTTCACTGTGACACCCAGTGGGTCCACCTGGGGAAGGAGACGCCACTGGACAGAGGAAGAGCGAGCCCTAACAGCAGCTGAGACGGAGGGTGTTTGGAAGGAAGCAGGTGGGAAGCCAGTCTCCACAGAGGGCTCGGGAAGAGGCAGAGGGGCACTTGAGCTAAGAGAGGGTTGTGAGCTGGACAAATACACAATCTCAAAGTAGGGGGTCAGCAATACGCGTGCTGTCCCTGAAACGCTGTTAATCTAAAGTTATTGTAAAACCAGAAAGGGAGAAGGGAGGGGGCGGGAGGGGAGGAGGAGGAAGGGATGGAGGAGGCAGGAGGCCCCTGCACCAATGCTGCTCACCTCCTCATAGGGATGCTCCCGGCTGGGTCTTTCTTCAGGAAAGGATAAATCCAGGAAGTCCACCAAGTAGTCGTACCCTCCAGGAAAGGGGTTGAAGTCCTCATCCGTCTCGATCATCTGTGCACATGGAAGGGGAACATCAATGGGGGTCGAGGTCTTTGACAAACCCTAAGAATGTTGGGCCCGGTGTCCTTGAAGGACAGCAGGGTGTTGGCAGTTGGGTTAGTCCCCCACCGACCCCCAGGCCTGGAGGACATTCGAACCCTAGCCTTCTACAAGCAGAACTGCTTGCTACCACTGCCTTCAGTCCCATTCTCAGAGCAGGCCGTCGGGATCTCAAGCACCTCAGGTGAGGGGGACACAGAACGTGGGCTGCCTGTCCGTCGCAGGGCAGCCGCGCCTCAAGTCTCACTGAAAGCTGCAGTGGTCCTCCTCATCTCCATACTAATCGTCCAAGTTAATATCATTGAGACCCATGTTTCCCAGGTCTTTGGATTTTTTTTTAATCTTTATTTTATTTATTTTTATGTGGGGCTGAGGATCTAACCCAGGGCCTCGCACGTGTGCTGGGAGAGCGCTCTGCTGCTGAGCCACGATCCCAGCTCCCAGGTCCTTGGATTTCAAAGACAATTTCCTAAAGACATATCTGGGAGCTAACACAGGTAACGACATTTTATTTTGCCAAGTGATGACTTGGGAAAAAAAGTCTGACATCTGCTGTCCTTGTATGTCACTCAAGGAAGATGGCAGTGGCTCGAAAACCCTCTTGGAATACTGATAATTCATCCCAGGAAAAGAGGTGATGTCTCTGTACCCACAGCATAACCTCGTCTTTACTTTTTTCACTACTGACCAGCAAAAACGTTGTCACAGACGGGCAATGACCCCCAGAGAGGTTTTGGGGAGTCACGGTTTTCGAGCAGGGTGTGGCGTGGCATTAATGTTCAGGGATTGATAGGTAATCTGGGGAACAGCTGTCTCCCTGGGGGTGGCCGACGCTTGTCTCTAGGGCCTGAGGTTTGTGCATTCCTGGTGCCATCCCTAGCCTCTGCCCCACTACGTGGCCCTGGCTGGCTGCTCGCTGACCTGGCAGTCCTGATGCCCATTTCCCGCCCCTTTCCCTGCACCCCGTCTGCTGGTAGCTGATGTGCCTTCGCGTACACCTCCAGCTCTGCCGGGTTTTAACCTGCGCTCTTCTGGTGGCCCTGCGCACTGCTGTGGCCGGGGTGTGTCCTGGCCCAGCCCGACTCTTGGTGCCTCTGTCCTCAGCACATCTGTGGGTACGAATTACCTGCTCTGTCTCCCTGGTCTGCACCCTCTGGGTGGCTCCCATCTCCTTGCCCCCCTGTTTGAGTACTCACTCCTGCCATGCCAAACACTGAGACCAAAACGAGACACCCACAGACAGACACAGACGTTGGCAGCCCACAGTGATGGGAGACAACGGATGCCTCCAAATAAGACTGTGCTGGACTTCAGAGCAGTCCCCACTGTTCAAGGAGGGGACGTTTATCACAATGCCAGATCTGTTCTCTGCCAGGCAGGCGGCAGGATGTGATGACGCTCACTGAGAGACAGATTGGTAGACAGAGGGGACTCCGTGTATCCCCACCATGCGAGGGAGCAGTACTAAGGCCTACCCTGACCACCAGGTTATAATTCTTAAATCCAGCCCAGGTGAAGTATTCTTTTATCCAGGATGGGTGCAGAAAGATCTCGTCGCCGACTGCAGCACGCAGGGCGTCCAGGTATGGCTGGAAGTCCCAGGAATCCTTGTAGATCTTGGTCCCTTCTGGAGGCTCCACGATGCCCTTGCTTAAAGACACAGCGGGACAACAGTGAGGGGAGAGTGCGCAGGCGGGGAAGGCAGGCCTCCAGAGCAGAGGCTGAGGCTGCTGGGAAGTTCCACCTGAGCCTGAGCCAGGGCAGGGTTCCTCCAGCCGGGCCTCCCTGAGGGGTCCTGTCCACCCTCCTGCTCCTTCTCTCACCAGCCCTGAACTCAGGCACGTGAGACCCCCAGGGCAGGGACTTCCC